CGAGAAGAACTCGAATACTAAACGGAAGTCTTTCTGTAAATATATTCAATATATTTGAGACCAAATGCTAATTAATGCGAAAATATTTACCATATTTTGATTGATTAAGAGCGGGGACATCATAATATTGGTAATCAATGCCATCCACTTTGATATTCTTCAGTAGTTTGGTGTAAGGATTCACTGAATTATTAATTTAGATTAAGTTCTAATAATTAATTATTTTGTACAAGCACATTTTGTAAACATGTATGACATATCTAGTATAATATAATATGTATTGCTAGAGTATATTGTATAAAAATTAACAAATATTTAGACCATGGAGTAAATTAATTATTATATTTTATTATAAATACAAAACACATACCATTTGAAGCCATAATTCAATGAATTATTACACGAAATGCGTGAATATTTAAATGAATTGCAATTCAAAGGAAACAAATGTTTTGAGGAAATAGTTTGACTATTGATTTCAGGTTTTCCTATATTTATGGCTAATATAATGTCATCCAATAGACTGAAACCTAACTATGAAATCATAACCACAATAATTGTCTTAAAGTATTGCTTAATTGTTTAAGTGTTTCTCACTTTTACGTCAGTTTAAAAGTTTTGAAATATTATTTGTATCTCTGAGTCGTTCATTTGCAGTATATTACAGTATATTTACATCTGTGTTCACATACTTTCAAATTGTCTGTCATTCCCACACTTGCATACAGTATCATATCTGTACTGTAGTTACTACAGTGTAGTACTTATATGACATACAGAATTATATAGTAAAGTGGTTACAAGTACTGTATAATATATTCTGTGTTAATCATCAAACAAAACCTTTAATTCCATATTAATTTATTCATAACACTTGATTGCAGTTTAATAATCCAGGTCATTATTTATTTGGCAGTACAATAACTATTTCTCAATTCTATGCTAAAGATTCTGTAGTAGATTCAATTCTTCGCTATAGAATGGAATCGTTATTTCATTCACTTATTTTAAAATCTTACTGTACTTGTTAACACTAATTGTCTTACTGTTAATTAATTTTTAATTTAAGTACTCGTTAGTAAAAATCAAAACATTAGTTTAATAATAAAATTTTATTTTATCGTAAAACGTGGAATTTAATAAATTTAAATTTTTAATATTCGTAATAATAGTTAAAAATAAATAGTTTATAAAAAGTCAAATTCCAAACAATATTGACAACCCTTTCCATCCTTTTAAATATATTACTCTTATTATAATAATTGAATATAAATTAGTTATTTCTGTTTGGATTGAAAAGCAGAATATTCTGCGAATTCCAGTGAATATGTGACGACCGAAACACAAGAGACCAGATGTAAGGAATGAAGAACTCTTCGGGCTGTTCGTCCTCCACATAACGGAACCGCAATTCAGGGAATTTCTGTACAATTCATTCAAAAATACTGTCAATTCTCTCGTCCCTTAACCCAAAGAATAGTTCAGTTAAACAAACCTTAAGCCTATCGGAAGGCCACTGAAGAGACGACTGTTGTATGATTTCATAGACTTCCGAAACGGATAGGTTTCGATCGATGGCTTCAATTCGGTTCGAGAAGTATGTGAGAACCGTCTCAATGTTCATAACAATGTCCTGAAAGCACGGATGTGACTGAAAGGGCTCCAGAACTTGTCGCTTGTATAATAGAGTGTACACTAAATTTGGATTATTAGTCAACTGTGCGGCCAGACATGCATTGATAATCTCCAAAATCATTCGCAATACTTCTTCGAAAATAGACAAATCTTGCTGTAAATCGGGTGCCACTGAACTCGTCTCACAATCGGAGCTCACATCCGACTGGTCGATGCCATTAGTTTTGGTTTCATTGGTTTTCACCTCTTTTAATATTCGGTTAAACTTTTTTGACAACTTCTCAAACAAAGAGACCAGTCTTTGGCAGACATAAGGGTTGAGTCGTTTGAAGTGATTGGACATATTGGCTAAAGTGGCGCAGAGGTTGGTGTGAAGGAACCGATCCTATCATTGACACCCATTAGTATAAACCCATTATTAGTATAAACTATGGTATAAACATAAGTGCTTTTCAAACATTACCCGCGCTCTCGACATATTGTATTGAATTGTTCTGATTATCACAAGAATAATAAGTCCGCCCAAAGATATTTCCGTCAGTTGTCTGTCTGCATACCACACAATATTCTTCAATGTCTTTCAAGAGTAAAAACCAATTATTAGTATTCAATGTTTATATGCTATAAGTGGTGACACATACGATATCGTGAACGGATTCATTGAACAGATTATCTTCACTGAGAACTAGAAGAATAATTAATGCCATATAAATGTGATGGGAGTTGCGATCAGGAGAGGTGTACAGTATTTTCAATATAGGAATCACAAACTGATCCAAATCTAGGGCTCGACTCAAGACGAATGACTTGAAGTAATGGTTGCGATGGAGAAGCATATAAAGCAAAAGAGTGGTCTGATCGTCATTAAGAGTAATGCAAAGAGTTTTATAGAGTGAAGCGAACTCTATCTTAAATCCGGTGACCGTCTGGTCGGCAGCTATTTGTGAATCCATTTGCGAATCACAACAACCAAAGAGTGCTTCTCGATATGGATTCGAGTCAGTCGTGCAGTGATTCGTCAGAACCAGAAGCAGAAGAAGACTTTGTCGCGAAAGAAGCGGCGGTTTATCGCTTTCGACGCCTTTGGCTGCATATCCCAGTGTCAGGACATTCCAGAGTCCAGACGCCAGACCCAGTATAATACTGCCGCCCTGTAGTTCAGGTGCAGGTCTTTGACTCACAAAATTGGTTAAAAGGCTTTTGGTTAGCAGTAAGGCATGAATCGCACACTTCTTTTGCATCACTAGTCGATAGATCGACGACTTGTTGGCCGGTCGGGCGGAATACATCTGAGTCGACAACAGCACCAGTAGACCATTGATGGCCTCCAAGTGCAGGTTATATGTCATATCACTGCAACAGTTCCATGAGTTAATAGACTAATAAGTTATGATAATCAATGGTTACCTCAAAGGAATATCGACTAAAATTTCAATCAATGTAATCAACAGCTGTTCAATCATTACAAGACCCGACTCTTCGGTTTTTTTCTCATTCGTGTCCACTTTGGCGGTGAAGTGACGAATGATATTGTCTTCAGTGAGCGTTTCGATCAAATACTTGGCGGCCGACCGCAGGATGAAGAGCGAGTTATATGTTTGCCATACAATCAGATTATAACTGTTTGTCAATGAAATATCAATTACTGTCACTCTTATATTAATCATCAATACTTGTCAACAACTCATCCCTACCTCTGCTCTTCGCTCTTCCCTTCTTTCAATTTGGATGTCTTGTCGATAACGATGCGAACAATTGATCCGATATTATGTGAACTCAAGTTGTTTTCAACTAAACTCGAAAGCAATGGACTTATGTTTTCGTCGACAAACTTTTGGTCATTACTAGTGATATAATGATAGCAAACATGTCATGCAATTCAATGTGATTACAACAAGCAATCAAAACAATACCAGATTTGTGGCAAATTGTCGAAAGCAAAGGACAGCAACTGATCCCAGTAGTCATGATTTGACGGATCAGTTGACATGTGTTCATTGGACACCAATTTTGTCAGATATTGGTTTTGCTTCAAATTGTTTAATGAACTCACATTTAAGCCCATTATAGCACACAATGAAGCAATGGGTGCCACAGTCTATACACTAATACTAATACTAATTGATTGCAATTAAAGTATAGTTTAAATGCAATTAATGTATCAAACATTGAGTGAAATGACAAATCACTGCTTCACACACTTACATTGCATTGCATTACCAATACTGCTGTACACATACACAGCCGGCCCTCAACAGTCACGTGTCACCTCACATACAGTCCTGTTGTCAATATATTTGTTTACCACATATTACGTTATCACAGTTGAAGGTTAGGGGCAGAGCATTACTTACCTATCATATGATATTGTTATAAAATGTCAAAATTATTGTCAAACATTATTGTCGTAATAATTATATAAACAGATTAGTTATCCATATAAATTGTATATAAAATATTGTATGCTGGTGCGAGTTTGTCGCATTCAATGTGAATGAAAAGGGGGTGGGTTTACATGTTGACAATACATGCAATGTTGTGAACGTATTGAACGAATAGATTATTCATAAAAGGCGTTACTCTGGATGTAATGATATGCCCCTAAATGTGGGCAGTGTTTGGCATTTGTTTGAGCAGTGATTGGTTTGGATGCTCACAGTGCTGTCATATACTGTAATGACAGCCCATTTTCAGGCAACTCTATTGGATTGTATTGTTTTTAAGGCATTCATTCATGATTTGGTGTTTTGTTTACGTATTAATCAAATGAGTGTTGAATTACTGATTGAGTGAACGATTATGCAAACAATGCTATCATTAATGACTGTTTGCCACATATAGTGAAGCCATCACTGGATGACTGATCCCATCGATGACAATGAAGGGCAAGAAGTGGTCGTCTGAGTGGAGAGGAGGGCAGAGAAGCGATGCGTCCATTGATTTGCTTGAGTTGTCTCAACACCTGAGGAAGGAATACGTGTTTGTGTCGAACGAGAGGACGAATCTCCAGAAGCTGAACGAAAAGGTAATGAATGTGATGGTTGTGATGGTGGTGCTGATGGTGTGGTATTGTCTGACAGGTGTTGACGGCGTCTTCGCGAGTGTTCAACGCGTGTTACATATCGCGAGAGCAGAGGTCTAACTGCGAGCGCCTCATATCCCACGGAAGTACAGATCTACTCAACTGTTGCAATGCTTTCAATCGCTTGGAATGTCTTCACTTCATCGACGCCTACAAGAAGTTGTCGGCAAATGAGCCACAAATCGCTGAATTGATTGCTTTCATGCGAAAGAGTCCCGAATTGTTGGCTAAATGTCTGATATGTTTGCAGAAAATAAGACCCGAATTAGTGGACAGTATTTCGCAAATCGTTTTGTCGAGTCTTTACTCCAATTGTATCCTAAATGAAGACAAAGTGTTTGCTCTGAAGCTAATGAAACACTTAATAAGTCTGGAGTTGTCTGTCATCGCAAACCCGCGACGAGTATTGCGTTACAGTTGGTGTGCTTTCAGTCATATCTATCGTCTCTTTTGCGATCAAATATTAGACGCGAAGCCATTCCTAACGGCCGCTCTCTATGAACCAGTTATGCAACTGTTGGCCGAAGACGACCTCTTCCTCGATATGGAGCCCAATAGGGCTGCCGTTCGGTTCGCACCGTCCGAACGGATCCGGCATTTCGGCAAAGAAGGCACTCAATTGTATTACGAAAATCTGCAGAAATACAGGATTTGGACGATCAATAAATTAGCGCTTTTTGTCAATAAGTTTGTGGACGGCATTCACCACAACATCTTCTGCTTCCCTCACAGTCTCTCATGGATTGTGAGACATCTCTACTCAACGATAGTCGAGAACAAGAACATTGAAGTTCGAGAGGTCGGCGCTATTTGTACTGACCTTTTGTTTGGATTTTTCATATGTCCAGCCATTCTAAACCCGGATCTATTGGGTATCACCGACGCTCATGTCAGTCATATCTCACGATTTAATTTACAACAAATCGCACAAATCATTCAAATGCTGGCGCTCTCTAAATGGGAACAAATAGACCCCAAATTGGATGACCTCTACTCCAAAGTGTCTAAAGAGGGTATAACTAAACTCTTGGATCATATCCTTGAGAAACGTAACGACGAATTACCAGAAGAACACAATAATCTTCAGTTAGTCATCCGATCATCTGTTCTCATATCAGAGGCTGAACTCAAAACTTTTGTTCAATTCTTGAATTCATTGCAATTCGAAGCCGAAGACGAGAGCATTAAGAAAATGAGAGAAATTCTGGAGAAAATTCCCGAAAACTTTATTATTGAAAGCATTGATAAACTGAATTCGTCCTCAATCTCGGAAAACTCGCCGCGAAATCGGAGAAGTATTTTGAATCGCGTGACTAAGAGTAAGAAATCGAGTGATTCTCAACTGAGCACAAGTGCGAGTGACCCTGGTCACAATCAAAGCAAACTGAATGACGCACAGAATATGGATGTGTTAGTGATTGCCATCGGAAGCGGTCGCGAGTGTCCGGGAATGTTGTCCGAAGACAAGGTCTTAAAAGCCGAACAACAAAAGAGGTCCACAAAAGTGAGACTTAATTTAGACTTATTGTTGACTCAAAACATTGAGGAAACCGAGAGTGTTGTCAGTGCTGTCAGTGGCAGTGAAAAGAGAACTCGATTTTCATTATCTCAAGACCAGGAATCTATTGGCACGAGTGATAACTTAGAGGCCATCTCTGAAGCGGCGTCTAATCATTCGGTGGAATCGTCTTTGGATTTAGAGAATGAAAACGACAACATGTCTGACATGGTGTCTGCCAATGTGAGCAGTGGTAGGGGAACGCCTAATGTCAGCGGTAGAGACACTCCATCCTCTCATTCACCAAATCAGTCGAGTGCTTCATCTGACGAAGAGGTGGAAGACGAGCCAATGGCCGATGCAGTGGAAGAGCCGGTCAATATGGAAGTTCCTTTGCCGCCATCGGAGTCCGGTTCGAGACGATTGCACGCCATTCCTATAACACAACCCAATCGTCGCAACAATAGGGGTGATATCGAGGATAAGTTCGGCAAATTCGACATTAAGCCGATCGCAGCGGTCGATGAGACGAAGTCGTTGCTAAGCGACACGTGGAGTACAGATGTGTTGGGAAGTGATTGTGAGGCCTTCGAGCAAATGGAGAACATTTCCAATTTGCAGACTTCAGGCATGAATTTGCTGGCATTTGGAGGCCATCAGTCCCAAGCGTTTCAATCAATACTGGATTCGTCGGAAACCGCGAGTCAGAGCGACGCATGGAGTACAGATGTGTTGACATCCGATACGGAGAGATTACAAGAGTTTGATCCCGAAGACAGTGTTAGTGTGACTCGATCTGAGCCGGAAGAGGAGAATTTGAACACAATTTATGAATACAATAATATGATGGAAAGCCCAAAGAGCGGAACTCTCAAACCACGGAATATCAAAATGGGCTCCAATTCTTCGAATTTCTCACAAGAAGGCAGTGAAACGAATCCCAACTCAACGTTAGTTCGCTCCAAGAGTTCGGTCGCCAACTCTAATATTAATTCTTTAAAACTCATGAATTTAAGCAAAAGTGAGAGCGAGAGACAGCTCTCTTTTGGTGAAACCGGTTTCAGTGAAAGTAGCGATCATTTCGTGGATGGTTTTGCGATGTCTTTATCGCCGACATTATTGACANCACTAGTCGATAGATCGACGACTTGTTGGCCGGTCGGGCGGAATACATCTGAGTCGACAACAGCACCAGTAGACCATTGATGGCCTCCAAGTGCAGGTTATATGTCATATCACTGCAACAGTTCCATCAGTTAATAGACTAATCAGTTATGATAATCAATGGTTACCTCAAAGGAATATCGACTAAAATTTCAATCAATGTAATCAACAGCTGTTCAATCATTACAAGACCCGACTCTTCGGTTTTTTTCTCATTCGTGTCCACTTTGGCTGTGAAGTGACGAATGATATTGTCTTCAGTGAGCGTTTCGATCAAATACTTGGCGGCCGACCGCAGGATGAAGAGGGAGTTATATGTTTGCCATACAATCAGATTATAACTGTTTGTCAATGAAATAGCAATTACTGTCACTCTTATATCAATCATCAATACTTGTCAACAACTCATCCCTACCTCTGCTCGTCGCTCTTCCCTTCTTTCAATTTGGATGTCTTGTCGATAACGATGCGAACAATTGATCCGATATTATGTGAACTCAAGTTGTTTTCAACTAAACTCGAAAGCAATGGACTTATGTTTTCGTCGACAAACTTTTGGTCATTACTAGTGATATAATGATAGCAAACATGTCATGCAATTCAATGTGATTACAACAAGCAATCAAAACAATACCAGATTTGTGGCAAATTGTCGAAAGCAAAGGACAGCAACTGATCCCAGAAGTCATGATTTGACGGATCAGTTGACATGTGTTCATTGGACACGAATTTTGTGAGATATTGGTTTTGCTTCAAATTGTTTAATGAACTCACATTTAAGCCCATTATAGCACACAATGAAGCAATGGGTGCCACAGTCTATACACTAATACTAATACTAATACTAATACTAATTGATTGCAATTAAAGTATAGTTTAAATGCAATTAATGTATCAAACATTAAGTGAAATGACAAATCACTGCTTCACACACTTACAGTGCATTGCATTACCAATACTGCTGTACACATACACACAGCCGGCCCTCAACCAGTCACGTGTCACCAAACATACAGTCCTGTTGTCAATATATTTGTTTACCACATATTACGTTATCACAGTTGAAGGTTAGGGGCAGAGCATTACTTACCTATCATATGATATTGTTATAAAATGTCAAAATTCTTGTAAAACATTATTGTCGTAATAATTATATAAACAGATTAGTTATCCATATAAATTGTATATAAAATATTGTATGCTGGTGCGAGTTTGTCTCATTCAATGTGAATGGAAAGGGGGTGGGTTTACATGTTTACAATACATGCAATGTTGTGAACGTATTGAACGAATAGATTATTCATAAAAGGCGTTACTCTAGATGTAATCATATGCCCCTAAATGTGGGTAGTGTTTGGCATTTGTTTGAGAAGTGATTGGTTTGCATGCGAACAGTGCTGTCATATACTGTAATGACAGCCCATTTTCAGGCAACTCTATTGGATTGTATTGTTTTTAAGGCATTCATGGTTTGGTGTTTTGTTTACGTATTAATCAAATGAGTGTTGAATTACTGATTGAGTGAACGGTTATGCAAACAATGCTATCATTAATGACTGTTTGCCACATATAGTGAAGCCATCACTGGATCACTGATCCCATCGATGACAATGAAGGGCAAGAAGTGGTCGTCTGAGTGGAGAGGAGGGCAGAGAAGCGATGCGTCCATTGATTTGCTTGAGTTGTCTCAACACCTGAGGAAGGAATACGTGTTTGTGTCGAACGAGAGGACGAATCTCCAGAAGCTGAACGAAAAGGTAATGAATGTGATGGTTGTGATGGTGGTGCTGATGGTGTGGTATTGTCTGACAGGTGTTGACGGCGTCTTCGCGAGTGTTCAACGCGTGTTACATATCGCGAGAGCAGAGGTCTAACTGCGAGCGCCTCATATCCCACGGAAGTACAGATCTACTCAACTGTTGCAATGCTTTCAATCGCTTGGAATGTCTTCACTTCATCGACGCCTACAAGAAGTTGTCGGCAAATGAGCCACAAATCGCTGAATTGATTGCTTTCATGCGAAAGAGTCCCGAATTGTTGGCTAAATGTCTGATATGTTTGCAGAAAATAAGACCCGAATTAGTGGACAGTATTTCGCAAATCGTTTTGTCGAGTCTTTACTCCAATTGTATCCTAAATGAAGACAAAGTGTTTGCTCTGAAGCTAATGAAACACTTAATAAGTCTGGAGTTGTCTGTCATCGCAAACCCGCGACGAGTATTGCGTTACAGTTGGTGTGCTTTCAGTCATATCTATCGTCTCTTTTGCGATCAAATATTAGACGCGAAGCCATTTCTAACGGCCGCTCTCTATGAACCAGTTATGCAACTGTTGGCCGAAGACGACCTCTTCCTCGATATGGAGCCCAATAGGGCTGCCGTTCGGTTCGCGCCGTCCGAACGGATCCGCCATTTCGGCAAAGAAGGCACTCAATTGTATTACGAAAATCTGCAGAAATACAGGATTTGGACGATCAATAAATTAGCGCTTTTTGTCAATAAGTTTGTCGACGGCATTCACAACAACNGCAAATTATAATAATTTACTTTTCAATCTGTTCTAATCTCATGAAATAATCAACCTATTATACAGTATAAAATAGCTATTAATACCTACAAAGAATTTACCATGTATATGTAGTTTTAAAGTTTTAGCTAGCAACAAATCATTTCTTCCTACAAATATACTCTCCTCTCTCTCTCTCTCTCTCTCTCTCTCTCTCCATATTTATATAATTTTTTATTGTGAAACTTTTTTTATATGATTTATGAAGTCATTAATTCAGAGCTCATAATAACAAACATAATATTCTACTTATAATTTATTGTATATTTCAGTATTAAGTCACTTTCCTTTTAAATATAATATCATCTATAGTTTCACGAACTCATAGTTTCGCACTAATTATAGCAATCAATTATCACGTATTTTGTTAACAAAGTTTTCGTAATTTACTTTTCCATGATTAATGGTTTGTGTATTTAATATTAAGTTTTTGTATTAAGTTTGTTATGACTTCTGAACATACTATACCAAAAATAATTCCTTACTTTAAATCAATACACGCCTAAACACTACTCATTTATTTATTATGTAAATATAAAAGTACCGTAGTTAAATTTTGTGATTGAATTATGTTATTATATTTTTACAAATCTTTCAATTTATATCTAATATTAATTTGTTATTTAAAATTACTATTAACATAAAGCATTAAAATGTTAGTTATGCACGCATTGTTTGCATTAATGGCTTTCATATCAGTAAACATAGAGTATGTGAAATAATAATGACATATAATTATAATCAAGAATTGCCAACAAATACTCCACTCCGGCGTCCATAGCATGCGAGCCATCATTGAGTTGCAGTCAGTTAGACAGCCATCGCAATCAATATGAGTATAATTCTCGCAATTGTTGTGCAGTTAATGTTGAGTCCGAGTTATTGTTGTTGTTTTTGTTGAGGAATTTGCTCTCTATTTCACAGGAGATTTCCATCCAATGATTGATAAGTTTTCTTTTTTGTGACACAAACTTCTAATAAGTTTCCATAACATAGTCTCTCTCTCTCTCTCTCTCTCTCTCTCTCTCTCTCTCTCTTCCTAATGAGAGTTCTCCACAGATTCCTGTATATTATACACAGGAATCGCTATTTTTGTGCTTTTTT